CTCGCTGTGCTTCATCCTCGCGGCGATCCTGCTGTCGACGGGGACGAAGCCCGCGGCGTTTGGCGCGACGGCGATGGTGTTCATCTTCCAGATCTTCTTGGGGATTGGGTATTTGCCGATTGTATGTCGTTTGTTTTGTCGTTCCCGTCGCGTGTTCAAGTCGGTTTTCAGCCGTGGCTGTATCCCGCTGAGGTGAATTTCCCCGTGGTTCATCGAAGGCGCGTTATTAACGGGCCGGATGCAGATCAGCACGACGCGCATCCGCGCACGCGGGTCGGCCATCTCGAGTTTCTTCAACTGGATGTGCGTTTCATCCCACCTCACCTTTCCATTTCCCTGATCATCTCCCCAGGTGCGTCTTCGCCGTCGTGCAGATGACACCGTGAGTGTCTCTCCTCTGCTATTTCAGAATCAACATCGCCCACATAATTCGCGCATGCAGCCCCGCGATCGCCAACATCTCCTGGCGCGTCTTCATCATCTTCGCGATCTTCAACGCGTGCTGGGTGCCGCTCGTGTACGTCTTCTTCCCTGAGACGAAGGGCCTCGAGCTCGAGGCGATCGACGCGATATTCGAGAGGGGCGGGATCACGGGCGGGGTGTGGGGGGCACGGAAGAATGGGGGGCGCACGGTGGAGAATCGGCGGCCGGCGCTGGATGGGGAGGGGGAGTATGGGGAGAAGGAGAAGGAGAGGGAGAAGGGCGAGGAGGTGAGGGAGGAGAGCAAGGAGTAGGTTTTGGCGCGCGGAATGCAAACGCGCACTGGGCCGCGGTACGAATGAATAGAGGCTATGATTACCTCTAGCAACGGGCACAGGTGGAACGGCCTGGCGGTTCCCGCGGCTGGTTCGGCCATTGTGAGCCTAAAAGGACAGCGGAGCTGTTGCGGGGAGCAGACCGAAGCCACGAATAATTTGAACATAGCACGGACGTTACAGGGAATGCTATGCTGAGTGAGAATTAACCCGGGGCGGCAATTCCCATTGGCTAGAAACCCGAGTATGGTGCGTCTATCAAAAGAATAATGAGCGGATGTACCGGCTCGATGTTGTCCACCCTTCCGATAGGTAGGTGATACAATGCTCCCGCAGGAGATTAATTCCGACTCGAGCATTGAATTTCTCTTGGCTCAATTTCCTTACCCACCCCGATTTAAGGTGATTTATTGAGGAGACAAGTAAGGGTTTCAACGACTCGATGGCGGAAGGTCCGCACATGATCTTGGATATTGTATACTTCAACAGGAGGTGTCGGTCCGATTCCGGCTCGAGCCCTGACGGATACATTCCTCTGTTTTGATTCACTTTTCTTCACACCCAGATTCGCGGCGATTTAGTGAGAAAGGACAACTAAAGATTAGAACGACTCGGTGCTCCTCGTGTTGAAGGCCGTTAAATTTAAGCCTTTGACCTTCGGAAGCTCTTACGCACGATCAGAAGTCTGTCCACCCAGCCCACACGCTCTGTCACGCTGTCAAAGAATCGAGGGGCCAGGGCAATCTTTCGAAGGCTGCTTGTATTCTTAAACCTATAACTCAGCTTGAACCGAGCCCTTGAACAATGAAGTAGCCACTCATCGTACCACTGGCACTCAGAGTGTCACAGAGTCTTGAGCCTTACTATTTCCCTAAAAGTTTGCAAACTGGGAGGTCCACCTCACTCACGCGGTCTATCTCGAAGGCTGTCAAAGAAACCGGTCGAGGGCAATGATCAAAGAAGGCTGCCAGATGGTTTCGGGAAGGCCTCGTACCCGGATTTCCGAATCAATCAGACTCGCTGTATCTCGGAACTTCCCTGTAACCAGAGTGGAGCGGCAGCACGGCCAGTCCCTATTGTTATTAGCCATTGAGCATCCGGTTGATTGTGAGTTCCTTATGACAGTTGTGTGCGATGAACTTCGGAGATACCGCTCGAAATAACGCTTACAAAGGATGGGGCGGCGCTTGACCGTCCCGCGCTCCCCCTTGATCCCGCACAAGCATGGTATAGACCGTCCTATGCAAATCTTCACTTGCCATGTGTTGAAATAAATTCCAGTCACTGAGCCATTTCATCACATATTTCCCGTTGGTGGTATGGGTTCTGTAGCTGTCTCTCAATGATTGCCTGACAGGGATTTACAGATAGATTCTTTGACATACGGTCAGGCCCCATTCTCCATGGGTTTAAACGATGTTATTGAATTATTGCAGGGATCTATTCGGTCCTCTTCTTCCAGTCTGTCCAAGTGCTGTGCTCGCGTCGGGGACCGAATTACAAATTTCATCTGGCATGCATGATCCTCCTCTTCCTCCTCTCGACGATCCACATCGCACTTGCCTACACATGGGCATTTATCACAGATCGCGCGCAGACCGCGATATATGAATTGTTCTCCCTGAAAAACCCCCTGCCGGTGTTGTACGGCCCTGACGATCCCGCCATCGTTCGTCGAATCGGCATTCTAATCAAAATTAGGTATAGTCTGGCAAAGTGAGTCCACATAATTTTCCTCACGGACGGTGACATTGACCGTCAAAGTACCATCGCAGACGGCATCATCGTGAGTTGTATCTATATCTTCACTGGCGCGATTAACGAGTTACTTCAACAGATCTATCGATGCTACGTGATATGGGGTCGCAATTGGAGGCCAGTAGTCTTCCCTGCTTTCGCTTATGCTTGCACGTGCAGTGGGTGTCCTCCGGTGATATTGGTCGTCGCCGCTAACTTGTGACCATGCCAGTCGGGGGCGTCGTTGGTTTAATCCCACTCTCCGGGACGTCTGAAATTGCGGCCACAGCAGTGTGCATGGTGACAATATTCTGCACGAATGTCCTCGCTGCATCCTTAGCGGGTGAGGAAATGATGCATATCACAATGAACCACACGGGTTACTTAACACGCCTCTTGGATTCAGCCGGACGAATTTGGTGGATTTCTCGCCGAATTGCCAGGCTTTTGGGCGGAAACGCGCGAAAGAAATATCTGGATGTGTCGGCTATTCTGTCAGCATTTTGCAAGGGTTGGCTTTCATTGAGTTAATTCTTCGTCCTCCAGGCTCGAAAGCGGGCTGATATATCCGGCCGTCCTGATCATTTGCATCGGGGTTTTCTTATCGCCCATGACATCGACGACTTCGGTTTTAATATGCATTGCCGTGTGCTATCACGTAGTCGTAAGCATTACCGAAACTGGTCATCATATGCTCATCGTAGCCAAAAACAGGCAATCGCACCGACGCTCATCATCGTACGTGTCGGATTGGGAGTGAGCACTGACGATGTGGACAAGAGCACCACTCTCACCAGGCAGACCGCCATGCCCGCAGCTCGCAGGGGAGTTCTCACGCCAATGGAATTTCAAGTTCGGGCAACCGTGACGAGAGAGGATTTCGAAGGGAGCTTGGGTGACCCCAAGGTTGTCTGAGTTGCGTAATAAGGATATTTTTTTTGTGATTCTGCTGGCTACGGGCACCAATCATCTTTGACGCCAATATTTAATATAAACACAAGATGTGCCTTCACTATGCTCCGGCACTGATCCATAAGCTCCCGTTCTATGCCAGAGTTTTTATTGTAGATTAATACCATCCTACCAAACATCAATGTTCTGTGTGTGTGTCAGCACAGCGGCTCATCAGGTTCTCGGAATGTGACTGAGGTGACTGGACAAGGGAAAAGCAAAGCAGAGAGCAGGGATCACACAAGCAGCTGGAGCATAGACCAGAATAATAAAAGGAGTAGTAGAATAATACACAGTTTATATAGAAGTGCCAAGGGATTATAAGGGATTTTGGTGTCCTGGGACACATAGGGTTAATGCAGGGATAAAGTAGAGCCTGCCACGATCAGGATGCCGGGGAATAGCAGTGCACATTGTGACAGGATTACAGGAGCTTAGAACAACATGATGACAGGCAGTCCACGTCTGCTCCCAAGAGGTACTCACCCTTGAGATTTGCTATACAGGGTCGGAAAACTGAATTAAGGCTCCGCCAGACCCACCCTCCCTGTTAGCCGAGTTATGTAAGCACCAAATCGGGCAATTGTCCCCAAGGGGCTGTCGGGATTAAAATTTCGGATATAGGGTCAGGGGGGGAGGTCCCCCAGAGGGCCGAAAAAAACTTTTTGCCCCGTATTTTAAATGGGGTCCAACCACCCCAGAAACAGTATACGTACGTGGGCTGGGAAACCCGTAGTGCTTGAAAATTGATTGAAATCAGAGCTTCGGAAGGCCCTCCGAAACTCGAAAGCCTTCTACCCGGGCCTTTGAAGCTTACAACAGACAATTTAAATTCCAAAAGCAACACAGAATTGCAGCATATGGTATTATATTCAACGCTGGAGGTTGGCTGGAGGTGCATTTGACGCTTGCGGAACGCAGTCGTGATAGCATCAACCACGTTTGGACGCTGTCCAGTGTCCATCAGGTGGCGATGTGCCTGCACATGACTCGGCTCTGCGGCCCGGCGCTAGGGGTGGGAACCTCCTTCCTTATATGGAAGGAGTACGGAAGGAGGGGTCCCAGGAGGGGCCGAAAAAAAACTTTTCGACCCGATATCCTTATTTCAAAACCCGACAGCTCCTTGATTGTCCCAGGGGAAAAAATCTTTAAAAATGGCGGCTGCAGTCAAATATCAGCTATGTTGTCCGGCAACAGTTGAATTCAACCTCGGAGCCTCCGACCTGTTACCCAAAAACCTCGACTTTCTGTAACCCTTCCCAAATGCATTTTCAAAGTGGTCTGCCCAAATTCCAAAAAGTGAAATAAGAAGTCGCCGGACCCTCTCTGTGAGGCTGTACCTCGGCATCCCTTGCCTACTCGTGGGAATTTTCCTGACTGGCATTCTATGAACAGCATTTTCCTTTCTTTCTTTTCTTCTGTGGGGGAGGGCTACGCAGAATTAGGCGGTTCCCGTTCTCCGGCAGGGGAATGCGTTGAATTTACCGTTTTCTCTGTTCATTGACCTTATACACAAAGTCGCGGTGATTTATCAAGGGGACAACCCGAGCTTAGAACGACTCGATGGCGGACGGTCCGCGCCTGCTCCTCGTGGGTCTGTGGGTTTAGTCCTAGCAGGAGGCTGGTTCAATTCCGGCTCGAGTCATGTTGATTTGCCGCGGAATTCTTTTGGTTCAATTCCCCTACCCCCACATGCCATACCATTTAGCGAGGGAACAACTACAGGTTGGAACGACTCGATGGCGGACGGTCCGCGCCTGCTCCTCGTAGGAATCCTCCTGACAGTCCCAGCGGGAAGTGCCGGTTCGATTCCGGCTCGAGGCATTCTATGAACAGCATTTCTTTTCTTTTCTTTTCTTCTGTGGGGGGCTACGCAGAATTAGCCGGTGTCCGTTCTCCGGCAGGCGAATGCATCGAATGTACCGTTCTCTCGGTTCACTTTGCTTCCCCACCATCGAGGCAATTTATTAAGGAGACAATTCTTTTTGTTCAATTCTTACCCCCACAAACCACACCATTTATCGAGGGGACAACCCGAGCTTAGAACGACTCGATAGGACGGTCCGCACCTGCTCCTCGTTGGCATGTGGTCTGCGTCCCCAGCAGGAGGTGCCGGTTCGACTCCGGCTCGAGTTATTATTTGCGGGTTGAGTGTGTTTTGGTTCAATTCCCTTGCCCCCCACAAACCACACCATCTATCGAGGGGACAACCGAGCTTAGAACGACTCGATGGCGGACGGTCCGCGCCTGCTCCTCATGGGCATATTGGCTTGTTCCCAGCAGGAGCTCCCGGTTCGATTCCGGCTCGAGTCATAGCGGGCGGAGATGAGTTTTTTATTTCGTATGCACGCCGTACCGTCATCTCGGTCGATTCATTTTCTTGTCCTGAACCAAGGAAGTATGTATGTAGGCCCTACATAGAGTCGTGGACGTGGAAATGGCAGAGTCACGAGTGCGTGTATGACGAATCAAGTCCCCTGCGCGTCCGAATACGAAATCCAGTTCTGCTCAAATCAGAAGGATCAGTGTAAGGGCGGGTGGGCAGACGAGCGGGACGGAAGAAACTCGTCCGAGCTGGAGTCGCCGGCGCGTTGAAGGCAACGTCTAACGAGACACTGCGCCGCTCGCATCCTCACGAGCAGAGGAGAGCGGACCGAAAGCGGGTTCAAGCCAGTGTCTTGCTCGTTGCTGAAGTCGTCCCCCAAGTGTCTTCATCGGGCCGCAGACAGATGCAAATATATAGATGCAAATTCTGAGTACAAGCTGAGTCCTAAGAATGGGAGGAAGGTTTTCTATGATAGGCCGAGGACAGCGAAAGCAGAGCAGAGCAGGGATCAGAGCGAAAGGTGTGTGCGTGGGTGAATAGGTGTAGGGAGGGTCAGCCTGCTGCTAAAGATTGGGCGTCCACACCCGCACTCGTCCCCGACTCCTCAGACGGCGCCCAGCGCTCGACGAGCTCCCTCAAGCACACGCGCGCGTCCTCGCTCAGCAGGGCCGGCGCCTTCTCGACGCGCGCGAGCGTCGCGTACACGTCGGGCAGGCGCGCGAGCCAGGTGGACGGGCAGCACGGCAGCGGCGCCGTGTCCCAGAGCGCGCGGAACTGGACGTCCGCGGCGGCGATGGCGGCGATCGCCTGTTCCGTCACGGTTTGTGCCTTGGTGCGCGCGGGCTCCGCGTCGCTCGCTTGCTCTGTTTGCGCGGGCTCCGCCTCCTCGTCCGCCTCCTCGTCCGCGAGCAGCGCGTCGAGGCGCACGCAGTGCTTCACCACACGCACGCCGATGTGCGCCAACACGGCCTCGTCCTCTGTCGCGGCCCTGAGCAGCGCGGCGGCCTCGCGCGGGACGATGCGGCCGAAGAGCGCCTTGGAGAACGCGAGTACCGCGCCGACCATGGTCGCGCTCGTGCTCCGGTAGATCTCGGGCGTGCTGCGCACGGCCTGCGTGCGGAGGTACACGGTCGCGATGTAGAGGGAGTAGCCCTGGACGAGCTGCGGCGCGGACGCGTCGAGGTCCTCGATGGAGAAGCTCTCGGGCGTGGCGGGAGCGCGGATCGCTCCGCCGAGGGCACGGAGCGAGGTGAGCTGGCGGTGGACGTGTTGCGCGAGCCTGCTTTGGGTCAGCGGCAATTCGATTGAGGCCACGCAAACGCACCCCTCATCCTCGGGGAACTGGAACGCTTTGGACGAGATGCCCTTCATGATCTCGCGGAAGGAAAAGCAGACGGCGGAGAGGGTGTGGTGCACACGGAGGTGCCATTCAAAGTCCTCCGACGACACGATGACTGCGTGCACGCTGTGTGCTGCAGAAAGGGTCAGGGACGAGGAAAGGGAGCCAGAGAGGGTGAAGCGGACCTAGGACATGGGCGAGAATCTTGAAGAGCAGCTCATTGGGCAGCGAGTGGTGGGCGGTGAGCTGCGACATGACTCGGAAGGCATAAAGGTGCCTGCGGAATCCACAGGACGGATCACTTTCAATCCATCACCGAGCGATTGCCGACTCGGCACAACCTGTGTTTGACCTCCTCCGCCGTGTCCGCAGACCCAATTTTCCGCCTGGATGCGTCGCCGGCGGCGGCGTGGGGTGGGCATTTTCAGGAAATTAAGGACCTACCTCCAGACGCATACTTCACGTTGGCGTTCATGTTTCAGTGCATGCACGAATACCACTGCTCAATCCCTACTGTAAGTAGTCTCCCGGATATGCAGGCTCTGATTGCTCGGAAAGCGCAAGATCGACGCTGAAAATGAGCTAAATGTCCTGCTATTGCCGTAAATCTCTTTGCGGAGACCCTCAGGCCGATGTGACTGTAACCTTGCGACCTGAGACATACGAGCATCATTGGGTGTATCTGTCTATGACAGACTAATGTGACCTAGCCAACGTCGGGGGGTGATTCACTCGTATCTAAAACAACTTGATGCCCGGGCTCTGTCTGCAAGATCTGGACGACGCAATTTCTTATCCGTCCCCGCCGGCGGTCGGGATCGGCGACGCGGTCGCCGGTGTGGCATTGTTCAAGACACCGCGGGTACTTACTTCCGATTATACACTGCCTAATTGCTCGGTGATGGCACTGCCAGGGCTCATTTCTTCTGCGCACAGAACAAATGGCCTCAAAAACCTCCTTGTTTTCGACCTCCGCCATTTCCGTATACCCGTCCGTCGCACCCGGTGTGGGCATTTAAAGACACGGCCGAAACAGCTGGCAGCTACCCGGACCCATACTTGACGTTCACGCTTCAGTGCACGGGCGAATCCCCTCAGGCTCAATCTCCATTCTTCCTGTTCTAGTCTGGAGGAAATAAACAATCCGAGGCTGGGTTGGCTTTCAAGATTGGCCTGGAAAGCGACAACGTGTGGAGCTGCAAATGTGCTGATTGTGCTGCTGTTACCGCAAAAATCTCTACGGAGAGCCTCGGCCCTCAACATCTTGCACTCGACGTACGCCCGGGCTCTGCAAGATCTTCGGCAACCCGAAACCCGTTTCGGTGTTAGTCTCTCTCGACAGACGCTTTATCATACCCAGCTCGTTCCTCGCTTGATAAAGTCTGTTGGTTACCGCGCCTTGATACCCGGTATCCTGCGTGATTATGTAAGCTTCCATTTCGGGCGACGCGCCGGAGACGCGACTTCAACGCGCCGAGGCGCAGACTGAAAACTGGCAAGAATTCTGATGACGCAAAGTTGGACTATAGTACCTCCACTGCTCACCTAGTCTTTTTCAGCATGCCCCGCGCTGTTGAAGTCCTGGCGTAAATATTTTTGTCCAATTTATGTCCCTCCTCCCAGAAAACATCATATTGAGCCTGGCACGGGGACTTGACCATACATAATCGCTATTATAGTGGGTCCACATGTCTCCGAGCATCAACAGCACAATTCCAGCTAAGAGAAGAAGGGAAACGCGTCTCGACGCGTCGCCCAAAAAGGAAGCTTACATAATAACGCAGGATACCGGTTATCAGGCGCGGTAACCAAAAGACTATTTCGGTGTCGCCGTCACGCCCATCATACACTGCATTCAGCGGCCCAATAGCCGCAGCCCTGTGGAGCGTGGGCGAGTTGCGTCTATATGCAGTCTATATGCGGCTTGCCGGCTTCACTAAGGCATCTAGACGGACCCTGCCGAGATTCAGCGAGCCTGCGGCTAGACCCTGTTGGCAGTTGCTAGGTGATGGTAGGTATAAATAGCCCGGCCCGCATGATTTGCCGAGCTCTGTCGAGCCGGCGATCCGCGGCTAGGCAGGCGGCTCCAGGCGGCTCGCCACACTGGCCGGCTGGGTTCGTCTAGTGCCTGCTGTGGCTACGGGACGGCTGAACATAGTGATATCCTCAGACTGACTGGTTCGTGGGTGCCCCGCAAATTGTTTTTCGCTGTATTCGCCTCGCCCATTCAGCGACGTCCTCACCAACCCTCCTACCACGAAATACACTTACGCGAGCGCCGGGAATATCACTTGTCCCGTCGTCCCAGCAGCCCCCACTCTCCGTTCCCTGCGCTCGACGAAGGTCGCATCGGGAGCAAGCACCCGAACGCCTACTGCAAGCCGGTCTACAACCCTGGGCGTTCTAGATCTGCGGCACAGCCAGTCCCGGTTCAACTTAGACTGGTCCAGCGTCTGACGCTATTACGTCTACGCAGCTTGTTCCCTGGTCGAAACAAGCTTGAAAGAGGCGCTCTATCCTTGCACGCCAGCTATCGACCCATGGGCTAGCAATTCAAGATTCTGAATTCACAGCATCGAATCGAAAGTGTATGAGAACGACATGAGGTTGAGAGACTGTTGACCGCGCGGTCTGATACTGTCGTAATCTTCCTATACGCGTCCCATGGGAGAAGGACACGAGTCATACGAGCCACGGGAAGTTCTGGGTCCGACTATCCGATATACCTTTCATCTCACTCCTCTAATCTCGTGCGCAGCGTTCTAAGAGGACCATCCCGCACACGAAGACGCCTCAGCCTTACTATTAATACTAATGGCTTACTTACTGAAACCCTGTACTCCGCACCTGCCGCCGCGACAAGCCGCTTCTCTCCAAACCGCTGCGCCAAGGTCGCGGTGTCAGCGCAATGCCCGTGGCGCCCGTCTTTGCGGTGCCACTAGTCTGTCCGTGCAGACCGTCCAGCGGGTTCGCGGGCAGCACGGTGGTCAAACCCTTTATGCAAGGACACCGGGGTTGGGAGAATGTGTGCCGTGCTGTGTGCGAGGTGCGAGGTGCGAGGCCTTTCAAATCCAGCGCGCTGCGTGGGCCGAATGATCGTAGGAACAGTTAGAACGATAACTATAAAGAGATAGGCCGAACGTCGAATTATTTGTTACTTTTGAAAGTAAACTTAGTACCCACACTGGCATTTTAATAAGAGTCGGATGATGTATGAATATACATTTGCATTAATGGGATACCGCGCGTGTCTGTAAAATGAAATTTGAGTTGAACAGCACTGCACGGGTTTCTCCGTGATCGGATCGATTCGGATCGATTCGGCTGATTCGTGATTCGTGATTCGGTGTTTCATCACCTGGCTTTGACCTGGCTCTTGACCACGTCGCCCGCGCTGAGCAGATCCTCGCGTAACGTGCGGTAGGATGCCGCAAGGGCACGGGCATGCTCGGACGAGGTACTCAATCTATCATCCGTCCCCGCCGGCGGCGCGGTGTCGGAATTTTCAACGCGCCGAAACAGATTGCACCTATGCTACGGACCCGCACGTTTCAGCACATGCGCGAGCCAACCCAACCAGGCCGACCCTCGATTGCTAAACGCACTTTAGCCTTTACGCTGGCAGATACGCAGGAAACAAAGCATCGC